TGACTGATTGATTGCACACAGGTAAACTGCGCGCTCACGCTTAAACAGCTGATGTAAACAAAAGGGGCGTTCGCCGCAACAGTAGTAGTAGTAGTAGTAGTAGTAGTAATTTAATAGTATCACATAATGTCACTTTGCATTTTGCTCAAGTCATGAAGAGTCATAAGATGGGGTCAGGGGAAACAACGAGCAGAGGAATGGAAGCAGGGAGTAGACAGTGACTGAAACCAAACTAGCGAACTGATTTGACTAACTTGAGGAGTTTTACCACACAAGTTTGTACACTTTTTAATGGTAGAAAACACAAGTCTTTCGATAGAAATGCAGTGCCTAAACCAAACCACACCCAATTTAACCGTTGTTTGTACACATAAAATAATCCCAAAGATCATAGAAAAAGCAGCGCGAATGCATCAAACTTCCGGAAATTTTTAGCAAAAACAACACGATGTAAGGTTTATAAAATCACAAAATATGCTATTTATCATGTTAGAAATTGACTTTTAAACAAGCCATCCATAAACCTCAGTACTTAATCTATCATTTACAGCAATAATCTCATATAGCACAATTTTGACATTTTTATCGATATGACAGCTTTGACAACCTTTATTGAATAATTAGACGTTACGACTTTAGCCGGGTTCTCATGGGCGGGGTCACATATATACTACAGTGGATTGAGTAATACAAACATGAATGTAAATTTACAGTTCTAACATTTTTTAAATCAATAATTTTAATCTTTTTAACATAAAATCAGGTATTCTTTTAATTTTGTCTGAATCCCTTTCCAAAATGGATTCAGCACTGGACAGTTCCAAAGGATGTAAGTTTATTCCCCATCTGATTACAATAAGTTTGAGTTATTTCTTTCCTTAATAACTGTTTCACGCTGCAAAAACGATCTAAAAATGAGTAAAAATGTCTTAAATTAAGTGCATTTACCCTTAATTTGACGAGGTAAATAAGACGATCTGCCAAATAAGATAATTGGATAATATGCACATAAATTTTACCTGTTTTCAAGGCTGCACTTTAAAAAAACTAAATTGGCTATAGCTGTTTTAAACTAAATTTATTTTTGTCTACACCTGTATACAAAATTCCAAAAAAAAATTGTCTGAAAAAATTAATCTAGAAGCAGATGTGGACATTAAAGCATCCTTTTAAAGAAGCAAGTTTTTTGCAGTTAAAGTTGGCGGTTTATTTGAATTCTAACTTTAAATTTAAAGAATTTCAAATATTACCCACTGGTATGTCATTACACACAAGAGCTGATGAATTTATTGTAATTGAAGCGTGGTGACTGTCTGTTGCAGATAAAGCCAGCGTGGAGCGCAGGATCTCGTCTCTGTGCTACTGCACGGTCACGCTGTACGAGTAGCAGCTGCACCCCAAACCACTGAGGGACCAGGACCTAAAAACCAGACCAACGCTGGAAGACCCGGAGATTCCTCTCCCTCCTGTAGCAGCTCAGCACTTTCATTTGTTTGTTTTAATCTGCGTTTGTCATCCGTTTGTTGTACTACTGCAGCGGTGCACACATTTCCAACCAAAGATGACAGCGGATCAGAGAGGAAACAATAAATCTAGAAGAAGATGTGGACATTAAAGCCTTCTTTTAAAGATGCTTTTAAAATCTGAGGGTGGGAGGATCCCACCATGTTAGCATTCCGGTTTCAGCTGGAAAAAGGAGGATTCACAGGGCTGTGAGACAGTGCTGTGGACTCTAAAAAGACATTGGACTAAGATTTGATCAGTGGTCCTGCACTTCTAGTTTCAGTGTTTGTGTATTTATTTTCTAGACCAACACAGACTATTCTGCCTTTCATGTAAACCTCAAGTATTGCAGTTGAAGGAAAAGGTTGGAAAGCGACGGCTTCCATCTGCCTGTGTGGACTTGGACTTTTTAACCCACCAACAAGCTGCTGTTACATCAAGCAGACAGCCATAAGCAAAGGAATCACTTTGTTTGGACTTTTTCTGTTTAAACTCAAGCACTTTATTTTGGAACGGATGGAAGAGAAAATGTGAAGATGTGGTCGACTCCTTTACTCTGCACACTGCAAAAAATAACTTCAAATGAGTCAACTCATAAAATAATTGCATTTACCCTTAATTTCAGCAGGTAAATAAGATGATCTGCCAATGGAACGAGTATGCTTAGTTTAAAATAAGATAATTAGATATTATGCACTTGAAAAAAACTTGTTTTTTCTTATTTTAAATGTAGATTATTTTGTTTCATTGGCAAAGTGTCTCATTTACCTCAATTCAAGGAAAAAAA